AGCTGCAAATTCATTGTTACTGCCTGAAGAGAAACCATGTCTGTACAATTGTTGATGTGGTGTCAGTGTTTATCGGTGACTGCTCCAAAGTTAGTGATAAAACAGAAGTGGTGTGTTTATACCAGAAAATTATTCTGGTCCTGACTTTTTCTTGGAGATATTGCTGTTATAATTTTGAAGTTGTTTCTGTTGTGATATCCCAGTGGAAGGGACTGTGAGTCGAATGTGGCACCTCATTCATCCCTGCATGTTGGCAAATGGCTAAAGGAGGCTTTTTAATGCAGGAACCAGTGTTTCCAGTGGGTTTAGTAAATATTCGTTAGTAGCTGCCCCGCGTACTAGAATTATAGATTTATTTCACTTTGGACTGAAAGGATTTTACGCTACTTCAGATTTTCATTTCAAAATGCCTGGTGAGAATCCGTGATGTTTTTCCAGACTTAAGGTGTGATGATCTCATATCATCTAGACCTCAATTAGCTACCTTCGCCTCCCTCCTTCCCTCCCGGGAGCATAATAGCTCGTTTGTATGTAAATGAGAGCCCCAGCTTTCTGGGCCCAGGCGCTGACTTCAGTCGGGGAGCGAAGCGTGAATCAATGAACACTGAGTTCAGTGCGGATCCTCGGGAGCTGGACGGGGGCCAGGGTGACTGCAGCGCCGGTCGGGGAAGAATTTGGGCTGGAGAAAAGGGAAGGCCAATGTTTCAGTCTTCCAGAGCCTCGGCGTTTTTACTATGTCAGGAAGTGAGGTCAGGCACAGCCGCTGTATACTGTAATTGTTTTCTGGAAGGCTAGTCATTAAGATTTTCTGTTTTTCTTAGAAGCCTTTGTAGTGCGAGACTGTCAGTGGAAAATATTGCCTTTTTTTTTTTTTATTTATTTAATATGGTTAACATGATTAACCGTATTACGTTAGCACAGTGTTGAATTACTCAGGAACACTTCTTAAAAGTTCATTTTTAAAATATGATCTGGTTTTATTTGCTTTAAAATATTTTTATGTTGTAAAATAAATGACAGAACATTCCAGTTCTTTAGATGCGTGTGTCTTGAACAAATAATCTGTGAAATCAGTAGCTCAATCTAGATCCAGTGTGGATTTCTGTTAACTTAAAAATGTAATATCCACTATTACTTCTTTCATCCTCACTAAAACAGTGCTTCAGAAGGTTTGTTTCTGAGATGCTTAGTCCCAATAGTCCCAATATTTTTATTTTTTTAATGACCATCATGCTGTATGGGCTCAATTCATCCTTCAGCTCAAATGAGGTTTGAGACTGACCTTTAGCTGATGTCTAACAGAAACCACTGCAAAGAAATGAATCAGAGCAGAATACCCTTGCAAAATGTAACCTTTCTAAAGATTAATCGTTTTAATTGCATACTGACTTAAACATCTCCAGTGGGTGGTGACAGAGCTCTAGAAGATACCTCAACGAATTCTGCTCTTGATTCATAGGGAATGATTCACTAATTCTCAGTATGTTCCTTTGCAACTCTGACAACTACCAAACTTGCCTAGTCTTTAATGCTCGCAGATGGGATTTTCCTTGGTTATTTTTAGTCTAGGGTTTAAAATTTTGTGGATTTGCTCATTTTTAGTGTCAGTGCAGCCTGTGAATTCTTAGTGCAAATGCTTTTCTCTTCCTTTTCCCCTCTCCCCCTCCCCATTGGCTTGGGTAGTTAGTAGCAGTAAACTTATAATGCCTAGATGCCAAGAACAGACCGTGGAAAATAGCAGCCTAAGCCTCTGTTACTAAGCATGTGATAAAATAAATGAGTCTTCAGGGATCCAAGAAGCTTTTTGATCCAGTTTTCCCTCTAGGTGGGTTCTTCCTCTTTGGGTCATTTGGATTTGCCCATCAGAGTAGACTTGGGTTGGGTTTGGAGTAAAAGGGAAGGTGTGCAGCATCACTGACAGCATTTGAGGGACTTAGCAGGACTTGGAATGTGGGATGGATGGAGGTGGGTTTGGGATCCTCGGATCTCCTCTCTGCCCACCCCGTGGTTGCCGTCGGGGACGAGTGGTGGGGCTGAGTAGGACACAGGGCTGGATTCCCCACTCTGGGAGCAGCACTAGGAGGATGTGGGTAATGGCTTTTCAAGATAGATCTCAATTTCTTTGTTCCGTTTTTCAGGAAATTGTGCCGAGTATGTAATCACTTTTCAGGAATTCTCTTTTTATTTACCCAAATACCACCTGCTTCCTCAAACGAAATGGAGATTTTTGGGAGGTGAACCCTTTGATACCGTGTTCCATGGGAGTGCTTTATCTCCCCAAAGTTTTACCTGTTACACTGGGGAGGGGGTTGAGCCCCATTACCAGCAGAGATGGTACCTTTGAGAGCAGCAGTGTCTTTTTCTGTTCTCTTATCAGTATTTTCAAGGAATGAAGCTGTGCTCTAAAAGCAAAAAAGCCTGTTTTTTTGCAAAGGCCATCAGTGTGCAGTGGGAGGTTCCTCTTTTATCGTTGACGTTCTGCCACTTGCAGCCATCTGAGCCCAGCTGTACAGTGAAATATTAGTGTTCTGAGTCAGGTGAAACTGCCTCAAAAGTTACTAAAATGGTCTCATTTGTGCTAGTACTTCCATTTTCTCTGACCATGTGGAGACTTGAAATTGTATTTGCTATTTTTGGACGTTGTCATTGACTGTATAAAAACATTTCTTTCCTAATACTCCAAGTATTACCTTCTTTCTCTGAAAAATGTGAAGTTCCAGCACTAAGCAAGCAGAACGTGTGTGTAGGTGTAAATGTAAATACTATCTGTGTCATCAGGCAATAAATTAAGGATTCTAATAACCACGTGGATGTTGGTGCCCTGCTCTACAATTTGTACTAACTACACCGTGCTGCTCACTAACGTAGAGAAAACCTCAAAGAATTATATGCAGCCAGGGTGGGAGACAAGGATAGAAACTTTGAATGTTTATTTAAAATTGCAGGTGGTATTGGAACTTGTTTCAGAAGGCCTTTTTCTACAGCTGGTTATTTTGGTGAGTTGAACATTTAAATGCAGATGCAGTTGCTCTTTGGTAAAGGGTTTTCCCCTTTATGTTAAGTGCTAATTTCTGTCGATTGTGAGGTTCTTAGGTGAAAGAAATTAGGACAATACACAGATATAAAATAAAGTCTTTTCAATCTGCCTGTGTATACTGAATTGCTATAATGGCTCTTAAGACTTAGTTCTAACCTCTAAAAATGGGAGAGGTGTAGTAGAAGAAATTCTGCCTTAATTTTAACATACTGACTGGTGGTGTTACCATGCAGGCATTTTTAAGTGGAATAGATATATACATATATCAGATGAGTTTGTTATTTTGATTGTCTTTATTACAGATCCTTTCTGAACGAAATGAGTTAAGCCTGGAAGAAATTATAACCGTCAGGCCATAATATTTCTCAAAGTGTCACTAATCTGCTGAAGATTCAGTCCTACAAGTACAGAATTAATCAGTTTTCCTCCCTCACCCCCCCCCCCCAACACGAACGGTGAACACAAATCAACCAGGTCCTCCAAAAAAACCCAATACCCACCATCTAGAGCTGATGGAATTTTGGAATTTTTACATGGAAGTTGGGGGGGGGACGGGACAGAGAGGAGCCCGGTGCATCCCAGAGCATCATAAAATAACCCGTGCCCACATCTGCTGAGAAACACCTTCCACGCAGAGAAGGGCCATCTAATAATATCCCATCTGCCCCCCTCCCCCCCTTTTTTCCCTCAATCCCCCTTTTTTCCTCCCTCCCCCCCCCCCCCCAATATGAATATGGAAACTGTAATTTCCATACTGGTTATAGAGAACTGAACACAGATTTGGCAGTTGTGTGTAGTCTGACTTGGTTCATGCACAGATTTGGGGAAAAGAAGTGGGTTTTGTTTTGCTTTTGCTTTTTATTTTTAATTTAATGAATTAGCCTATCCCAAGCGCGTTTTGTCTTCCGTCTGGGTTTATAGGAGGTAATGGGAAGGGAGAAGGAAATGTCAGCATTTCCTGTGTCCTGTTCTCTTGTGCTTTTTATGGATGGTGAACTAACTATACACTGAAAATTCACTAACGTTTGGATTGTATTTTGATTTATTTTAATCACAGATTATTCACTAGAAGCCCAAAACTATACAGTGCCTCTCCATGTGCAATTCTCCATGATACTCAGTTAAAGACTTATGTCTCTCTTGTGTTGCCTTAAGCCTTGTTTTCACTGTGTCTGACTTCTGGATTGATGACATGATGCTACATTGGAGAAATTGTATGGTTTGGGGGGGCGTTGATCATTACAGAGTCTGAAATGTACATATAATACGTTAATTATCTGGCCTAAAACTTAGGTTCTGGAATACAAGCAATTTAGAAATTGTAACTACAGATTTAGGAATAAAGTGTGAATTTTGCTACTGTGTAATTGCATCACTTACATACCAATTTTATCACTCGTGGCTTGTCAGGTTGAATGTGCACGATACGTATTTAAAGAGCTTGTGTTTGGAAGAAGGATATGTATTCCTTAAATGTGGTACTTAAAAATAAAAAGTAGGGTAATATATTAGACTAATTGGATGTGCTCTGTCGTGAAGAACTTGGATATATGACTTGCTGTCCCCCTCCATGCTTTTAAGACTGTTAGTTTGCACAAGTTTTTAAATGTTCAATGAAGCTGGAAGTGGATGTTTTATAGTAGCTTTTGTCTCCCAATTTCAGTCAGTTTGTTTGAAAATCTTTGGGGGAAGAGTAGTGGAGTGTTGAAGTCTGACTGTATTTTCCTATTGAGTTTTCAAACATTCTTGAATTGTTGTCAGTAAAGAATATTCAAATAATATCGTAGGGCAAGTATTTGTTTTGCGGAGAAGGAAAATATAAAACCCCAAAGCAGTGTCTTGAAGGCACTGCTGTATTTTTCTTCTGAAACATTGGTACCCAGTTTGGCAAACGAAGTAGGGGATTATTAGGGGGAGTGGAGAGACACGTATCTAATATTGAACACTCTCTTTTTTGTTCTAGCAGGTGGTTAATGTGAGCGGTCGTCAATGAATGGTTTTCAGACATGATGGCCGACCAGCCGCCTCCACTGGAAGCGACGCCTATATTGAATGAAGTGACACTTCTACCTCATATGGTTAATGGGGACAGCATCCAACAGGCAAGTAAATCCATCCCATTTTCTTACAGCTCCTGCCACGCTGTGCCAGCAGGAGGCTGACATTCAAGCATACTTGAAAAACAAATAGAAAAATCTAGGCTCGGAATAAAGGAACTGTGATGCTGATTTGCAAAGCTGGAAAAGCATGTTGCTTCTCAGCATCAGTGAAATGGAAGTGCAGCTACAGAGAGGAAGAAAGTAATTCCGCTTTAATAGAGTGGAAATGTGAAAAAAATGCAAATTAAAAGGAATGTTTGTTATACGCATGTAAGTGCTTTAAAATGAAGCTACAAAATGAATGAATGGAAGGCAATATATAATATATGGATTTAATGAAGCGCTAAGGTTTTGAAAACTCTTCTTAAAGCTCATGTAAAGCGATCAATAAAGATTAGCAAGTGGCTACAGTGCTCTAAACCAAGAAGTCTATTGCAGGGAAATGTAGAGGAGAGGAAAGACCTTGTCTTCCTGATATTAAGTATCTTCGTTAATAAGTACAGTGCACTGGTGAAACCTGAGTATATTTAGTTGAAACATTAGAATTTTATTGGACACAACCCTTCAGAAGTACTGAGTATGGTTAGAAATACAGACAAAAGTGAAAGCAAAATGATTCTGAAGCACAAGCTTGTGTAAGTTGTCAGTGAACTTGAAATGAATTTAGTGTTTGGCAGTAGGAGCTGAGTGCCTTGTACAACACATACTGAGATATTGTCCCATCATTTGGAGACAGACTTCCAGTGCACTCAGAAATATTGCAGGCATCCTAACATTTTAATACTCGTTATTAATTTAAGAAGCATCTTTGTCCTGCCCTACAGCAGCTACAAATGTGACTGGTCCTGATGGGAGAGAAAAGGTTTGCTTTAAATAGCTAAATAGCTCGGTGTTGGGTGGCTGTGATGGGAGAGGGGGCTGGATAATCTCATCTGGGCTCCCTTTCCCACAACAGATTGGACCAGGTGATCTCTCAAGGTCCCTTCCAACCTGAGCTGTTCAAGGATTCTGTGATAACAAAACATAAATTTGAAGACTTTGTGCTTGGAGTTAAATAATCATTTTGTTGAAGCAGGGGACAAAGCTGCCTGTTGCTTTAACCTGATCAGTTTATAACGTTAAGTATCGGACTGTAATTGAAATAGGAATTAAGAAATTAATCCAGAAAGAAAAGTTGCATAAACATTTCTGGAGGATAACTGTCATATGAAATGATGATGAAGGATAACAGTGAAGACCTTGGTATGTTTGAATGTACAGTAGATAAACAGGGTACAACAAAGTAATCACAAATTAAGGATCTGGTAGACCAGAAGTGCTGAAAAGTTTTACATGAAGTATCCTACGATTTGTGATTGTTACAGATGTGAAAGGATTGTAGTATTGCTTGTAAAAATAGCCTTTATTTAAAAAAGAAAAAAAAAAAAAGAAAAAAAAAGAAAAAATGTACTCTGCTTTGTTTTCTCAGACTCTGGAGATAAAATGCAGTGACTGTGTTTTGAAATAAGTAAAATGATAAGAGTCTCTAAGCTAGTTCTGAAGTTCCAGCATTAGCAACGGGAAATTTTAGACATTGAGCAGCTGGGAGGTTATTCAGTAGCTGCTGTTTCATGTTACACAAGGAAAAGAGATCAAGTAGATCTAATTGGAGACCATCTCCGTAGCTGTGTTTGTGTAGTGTGTCTTGGGACAGATCAGTGTGTAGAAGAATACTAGTGTGCATTACGTTAAATGACCCAAAAGAAGGTGAGTGTCATTGATAATTTTTGGAACCCCGGTGGAGATCGTTTGCAATCAGATGGGGTTGAAAATAAAACAAATTAGTTGGATCTTGGAGGTGTATGGGAAAATGGCATTTGAAGAGGAGACTTTCAACTCTGATAGTCTTCCAGACTTCTAGTTGAATTATATTGGAAATAGCGAGTAAGTCTGTCTGGTGAAAATCTTCATGGGACTGGGAATGTGATTTAATGTGCCAATGTTTGTCATTCTTGCATGTCTGTATATCAACAACCACATGTTGCCATCCCTCAGATTCCTGACAAATACACTTGTTTGTGCTGCTTGTTTGTGGTACCTTTCTCTAGAGAGGGGAAGCTTCTGAGCCACAGTCTCACTGGAAAGTTTGCTTTTAAATAGGCCAGTAACTTTAAAGCTTTATTAATGCAGATTATTTTTAATTATTTTGCTGCCAGTGATGTAGGAGATGGGCTAATTGTGGGGTGTTTGTGCAGTGGTTTTGTTCCCAGAAATAAATATTGTGCTGTTTGGCCAATCGCCTCACTCAGATGCAGCACCGAGTTCATTAGTTTCATTTCCCGTAAAGTCTCAGTTGGAAGTTTTCTGGAAGGGTTTCTTGTTTTCAAAACCTTCAGTGATGGAAAGTGTGTGAATAAGGGAGAAAAGCAAAACACTGACCAGTGCTTTGAAATAGCTCAATCCTGCTGGTTCTGAAATACTTGTGTGGGACACCTGAAGGTGTCAACATGACTGTGACCCCTAGTGCTAGTCCGTCGTCTAACTGGGCTTAGATTGACTCATTAGACACACTCAAGCTTCCTGGAAATTTTCCTTGGTGGAAGGTAGATGGAACTGCATTTGCTTCATTAATTATAGTGAGTCATTCCTCTAAGACATTGCCCCGTGCATTCCTGAAATTCCAGTCTCTGAACTGTTCTGCAGCCCTGTGATTACACCATGCACTTCTGATCCTTCTCCCCGAGTTCAGTTAATAGTTTCCTGAACTGTTTGTGAGAACTTCAGTTAATTGAAGACCTGACAGAGAATTCTTTCTACCTGCTATAATTGTCATTCCATAAATAGAATAAAAATATTTTATAAAAAATTAATGAAAGAAGACTTTATTTTTGGGTTTCATAGCTAGTTTTACAAATACGTTTTATTTCACGTTTTCTATCAGCCTTTTTTCTTTGTGTGCTGGCTTTCACCTCGGAATTTGGGTGGAATTTTGAACTGTGCAGTTCTTACATGGAGAAATCCCTCATTTTACTGAAGAATTAGACCTATGCCTGTGTAATACGGTAGAATCCCACTGCAAAATTATTGTAGTGAAGTTGTTGTGTTACAATAAAAGTGAAGCACTGCCAGTATTTTACAGTCAGACTGAAGACTGTGCTGTGAGTGGGGTAGAATGAGGTGATGGTTGGTGTCACCCAGCACGAGGGAAGCGATGCTGTAGGTTGCCTGAGGAATAATTTGGGCAGATGTCCACATTGATTTGTGTGACAGTGCATGCCATCGTGTCCAGACTGACCTGCCAGACCTCACTGGTGCTTGTATTTCTTTAGCTACAGGATTACACAAACATGTGAGAAAATAAACCTGATCTTTCAGAGGTGTTGGGCAGGACCTGCTTTGTCACCTCTTTTACCATCCTTCACCCCCAAAGGACTGCATTCTTTATTAAGTTACCTGATAGCATCAGAGAATATGTTCTCAAAGTACACACTGGTATGCTCTCAATGAAAATACATGTCTTGAGTTTTGGGCAAAGCATTTATTGGTTTTTTTCATGTGTGTACGATCCTAATTTTTGTCAATTTAGCCCTGAAACTGAAATAATCTCATAGGCAAAGCTTGGAAAGCAAGGTGAATCTTAGGTGATTTATTGCTTTGATAAAAGAAGGAAAAACAGCATGAAAATATTGAAAATAAAAGCTTTCAAGTGTATCAAGGGAAGTACTTTTGGTAGTAATGGGAAAAAATACTGGATATGCAAAACTAATCATTTTATGTCAAAGTGTGAAGAAATTTCATTCTACCTGTCACTGTTTCTCATTTTGCTTTTTTACTCTCTGAGTTGCCAAAGCCATATTGTTTTAATCTAACGTGTGTATAAGGAAGAGATGGGTTTTTTCCCCCAGGTAATTTCTAAAATTTAAAAAACCCCACCTTTTGTCTCTTGTTTTCTACAGGTTATTCTTGTACAGGTAAACCCAGGTGAAACATTTACAATTACAACCGAAGATGGACACATTCAGTGTATTCAAGGTAAAGGAAAAAACTGCAGTACTGAATCCAAATATTTTAATTCTGCAAATATCACATTACTACCAGTATTGGTTTCTGTCATGTCAAGTGTGTTTTTATATGTTCTGCGATGTAATAAATCAGATTTTTCAGTTTGTACTTAAGGCACAAACGAGACAGCACTGGGAAATTGCCAGGGTTCCTGCATCTCTGCAGACTTTGCTGCCAATTTATAAGGGGCTGGCACCTCAACTGGTTTTGTAATGATTCTTGAATAACTGTGGTCTTGGAATCTTAACACATGAATTTAGGTGGGCTTTAGTCCACAGTAATCTAAACAACTTTAATAGACACTGTGTGACCTCACTTTACATAAGGTAGTAGCTGCTGTTCGTGGCTACGAAGTGCTTTTTACCTTCTGGGCAAGTGACAAAACTGCAAATCTGAGCTGGGTCAAAATATCTCCTGTAAGTCAAGTTGAATTTATCAGTACCTCCATTTTTTGGAATATTTTTGACCATTTCAAATGGTATTATTTAAAAAGTGACCATTCTGCTTTCATCAAATCCCAGACAGCAATACTTTCATCTTAATGCAAAAAATAATACATTCTGATTTAAAAAAAACAACAAACCAAACAAACAAAAACCAACCAACCAAACAAAAAAAGTTGGTAGACCAGCTGTCAGCACTACTTTAGTGCCAATGTTGTTACTATGGACTTTTAACTTGGTCGCAAAAGAAGAACTAAAATCGATCTCTGCTGATTTTTGTACAATTAAAGAAATACTGTTGGCAGTGTAAGTGTCGTGGTTGGAATAAATGTAATCTGTGCTTTTTGTAGAATAAATGTACAGCCAGACTTGCATTCAGCAATATTATCTAAAATTCTGGGTGCTTCCTGAAAGTTACTAAGTCCTCCTTTATGTGTATTTTGAATGTGAAAATGATTTACCCATCAGTGACGTAAGTCCCATTATTTTTCTTGATGAAAATTTTTTACAGTCACTTCTATTTTTTAAACTTGCAGTCCTGATTATTTAAGTTTCTCTTCTCACTCACTTTTTTATTGGGTAGTTTAAGCCTTGCTTCTAAATCTACTTGTCTAAAAGTAGTTCTGTAAATACAGAGCTGGCTGCGGTTGCTGGCTTTTCAGGCACCAAAGTGAACCACCACCTTTGGAAAAAAAAAAAAAAAAAAAAAGGTGTCTCGAGTTTGTAAAAAGCTTCGTTTGTTAAAAAGTGGCACCTTGTTACTTCTCAGGTCCAGCCCATGTTCCTATGATGTCACCAAATGGTTCTATGCCGCCTATATTTGTGCCTCCCGGTTATGTATCTCAGGTAAACTTTAATTTATTCTTACATTTCAGTGTGTTTGTGGGTGTGGCTTTTTAACGATAAGGCTATTGATTATTTTATCTAGAAGAGTTGTTGAAAGCATTTCTCATATTTTTTCCATTGAACTTAGTATTTAAGTCTTGCTGTAGGCTCTACCACCTTCTGTTCGCTTAGAATTTGATCTAGTTTTCAGGGGTTTTTTTAATAATCCTACTGGGCAGTAAAGATTCCTTTTAGTAAGGTGGCTCTGGACTTGGCTATCTGTCGAGCTCCATTAGCAGATCCTCCTTTGGTCCTGTTTTCAGGGTGGAAGTGGGGCCTGGGTGGTAGGAGCAATGGGATCTGAGTGCCAGCACTGCAGGAACCAGTCCGATGGGAACATGGTGGGATTGAACATGTCTCACACATACTATGCATGTGAAACTCAGGGTTTTTTACAGTGGGGTTATATGGGTCATATACCAGTTATCATTCTGTCTCTCATCCCTTAGGTCTTTTTTTCCCCCCCCCCCCCCCC